CTCTACATGTTTTTTTTATTTTTTATTTTTTAATTTTTTTTATTGTTGGTTGTTCAAAACATTACATAGTTCTTGATATATCATATTTCACATTTTGATTCAAGTGGGTTATGAACTCCCATTTTTACTCCGTATACAGCTTGCAGAATCACATCAGTTACACTTCCATTTCTCTACATGTTTAATATTCAGACAACTCTCATTAATGTTGGAGATTCCTGAACAAGACGAGTCATGGAAGGTTTTTAATCTTGAGTATTAAAAAAAATAAAATCAGAAAAGCATATGCAAATACATACTCTGGGGGGGAAAAAACAGAGCATCAACTCCCCCCAAAAAAACTCTTCTTGGATATGCTATGATTATCCATACTTTAGTTCTAATGAGTCACCCAACATATTTTATAACTGCAGAGTTGAAAAGCACTCTACACAATCTGTGAGAGAGGAAAATTGTCACAAAATGAATATCAGTTCATAATTAACAAGGATGCTAGTGGCAGTGTAAACATCACAGGCAAATACTGGGTAGTATACTGAGGTTGCACTTTATTCTTTTGATCATGATCTTGAACTCCAAATGAACTCAAACTATAATGGAAGGGGAATTTGGGTACAATGGCACACACCTGTACTAGTAGCTCCTAGCTATTTGAGAGGCTGAGGCAGGACAATCAAAAGTTTAAGGCCAGACAGGTAGGGTGGTGCATGCCTATAATCCTAGCAGCTAGGTAGGCTAAGACAGGAGGATCTCAAGTTCAAAGCCAGCCTCAGTAAAGGCGAGGTGATAAAAACAACTCAGTGAGACCCTGTCTCTAAACAAATTACAAAATAGGGCTGGGGATGTGGCTCAGTGTTTGAGTGCCCCTGAGTTCAGTCCCCAGTACCTAAAAAAAAAAAAATGTTTATGGTCGCCTGGGCATCCTAGGAAGACCTTGCCTCAATAAAAATAAGTGACATGATATTAGAAAATGAGGCCTTGGGAAAACAGACTTAGATGGAATCTTGGGAATAGAGCCCCCATTTTGGGATAAAACAAGAAGACAGGTTTCCATAACCCAGGAAGAGCACCTACATCAGAGAGTGGATCTGCCAAAGGTCAAATATGATGAAGCTAAAGATCTGCCCACACCTAGACTTCCCAGCCTCACAATAAATTCCACTTTTCTGTGTAACTATAATGCACCAAGTAGAAAATAAATGAATGAAAGAGCAATAGAGGACTTTCCTCCATTTACTAGTAAATGATATAATTTTTTCTTCTTTATGGCTAAGTGAAACTCTATTGTGTATGTATAACACATTGTCTTTATCCAGGATCAGGGGAAGGGAAAAGGAAAGGTAATGGATTTGTACCAGGGATTGAAATAGAGTAAATTATGTTATATGTATTTATGAATATGTCAAAATAAGCCCCACATTTAAGTATAAATATAATGCACTAATAAAAAAATTAAAGGTGCTCAAGCTATAATATGTGAAAAAAGTTATAAAAGTTTATAGGGCAATCCTAATTGTAACAAAAAAGGGGTAGGTGGCTCTCATTTTAGTAAAGTTTAAAGTTTTAGAAGTGACAAAATTGAATGTTTATGAGTGCACAGGCCTCATATATATATACTGTTAGTGTGAACCACAAAATGGGACAGCATTTCTGGAAGACAATTTGTCAATATGTGTCTTTATCTTTGAAAATATGTTACATTAAAGTCATTCCACTTTTCAAGAAGTAATTCCAATGGACACATACATTCTTTTACTATACATTTAAATAGGGAAAAAGTACAAACTGTCTAAATATCAAATAGCAGTGAATTCATTAAATTACTATGCATCAATATGAGGGAGTACTACATGAGACACTATAAAGCAAAATAAAGTAGGGTTACCATACAAATACAGTTGTCTCATACTAGACAAAGGCACCATAAACATACATTGAAGAAAAGATAGCCTCTTCAACAAATAGTGCTGGGAAAACTGGAAATCCATATGTAACAAAATGAAATTAGATCTCTCTCTCTCTCACCCTGAACAAAACTCAACTCAAAGTGGATCAAGGACCTAGGCATTAGACCAGAGACTCTGCACCTAACAGAAGAAAAAGTAGGCCCAAATCTACATCATGTCAGCTTAAATACCAAATTCTTCAACAAGACTCCTAAAGCACAAGAAGTAAAATCAAGAAGCAATAAATCGGATGGTATGAAACTAAAAAGCTTCCTCACAGCAAAGAAAACAATCAAGAATATGAACAGAGAGCCTATAGAATGTAAGAAAATCTTTACCATCTGCAACTCAGATACAGCAAAAAACTTAACCCCCAAAAAACCCCCAAAATAATCCAATCAATAAATGGGCAAAGGAACTGAATAGACACTTTACAGAAGAAGTATGAATTGTCAATATATATGAAAAAATGTTCAACACCTCTAACAATTGGAGAAATGCAAATTAAAACTACACTGGAATTCTATCTCACTCCAGTCAGAATTGCAATTATCAAGAATAAAATGATAGTAGTGTTGGTGAGAATGTGGGGGAAAAGGCACACTCAAACATTTCTGGTGGGACTGCAAATTGATACAACCACTATGGGAAAGCAGTATAGAGACTCCTTAGAAAACTTGAAATGGAACTACCATTTGATCCAGTTATCCTACTCCTCGGCTTATACCCAAAAGACTTAAAATCAGCATACTAAAGTGATGCAGCCACATCAATGTTTATAGCAGCTCCATTCATAATATCTAAGCTATGGAACCAACCTAGATGCCCTTCAACAGATGAATGGATAAAGAAAATGTGGCATATATACACAATGAAATATTACTCTGCCATAAACAAGAATGAAATTATGACATTTGCTGATAAAGGGATGGAAGTGGAGATGGTCATGCTAAGTGAAATAGGCCAATCCCAAAAAACCAAAGGCAGAATGTTCTCTGATACAAGATGACTCACAATAGATAAGGTAGGGGGTGAAGTGAAAGTTCACTGGATTGGACAAGGGGAAGTGGGAGAAACAGAGGAGGGAATGGGAATGGAAAAGTCAGTAGAATGAATCAGACATGATATTTTTATAGTCCTATATAAATACATGAACAAAGAGAACATGAACAGAGAGCCTATAGAATGTAAGAAAATCTTTACCACCTGCACCTATGTGTAACCCCATATCACATACAACCACAAAAATGGGAAGTTATACTCCGTGTATGCATGATTTGTCAAAATATACTCTACTGTAATATATAACTAAAAGAACAAATAATAGCACCCTATAGTTCCCTATTTTTGTAATCTCTTACATGTATAAATACATCTGCCAAAAAAAGCTAAAATATGTATGCCAAAATGAACAGTGGGTGTCTTGATTATAGGTAATATTATCTTTTATCGTTTACTCTCCCTGTATTTCCTATGAAGAATATATTTAACTTTTATAAAAGTTTAAAAGCCATTAGAAAAAAAAGGATTTTAAAAATATCTTGGGCTGGGATGTACCTCGGTGGCAAAGTATTTGCTTCACATTTGCAAAGCCCTGGGTTCAATTCCCAGTTCCAAAAAAGACAACCGATACATTATGACAACAATACAATTCCAAGAGGTAAGCATATTTGATACTCAAAATTCACCATTTTCAATTCTAGAAGTTCATTTATCTTACCTCTAAGCCATAAATCCTCACTAAGAGAGTCTGCAAAAGCACGTGCCCCCAGGTCACCAATGAGGGAGTTGCAATTCAATGTGATTCGCCTTAAGCCAGCCATGCAGTCAAGATCTGGTCTCCTATA